GTGGCAGCAAAATAAATTCTACGACCCTTGACATCTTATTGTTTTATTAGGACACTCTAAAATACCCTTTTAGAGTGTCCTACGACACCAAAGAAACAACAGTCCTTGGATATCCACAAATTTACCGTTGTATACGTTACATAACTTAAAAACAAATATATTATTCATATTTGTGTCATTAAAATATACATAAGTAGTAAAGCTATAGAAATATTAAAAGTAATTTTCATCGTGTAGCTTTTTTAATCTATACAAATAAATAAAATTGAAGTGTCTGTTTGTAATGTCCAAATTACAGCTTTTTACTAAATGCGTATGAAGTTTTTGTCTGTCTGTCTCTGTCCGTCTGTCTGTCTGTTTGTTCCGACTAATCTCCGAAACGGCTGGACCGATTTTGACGGGATTTTCACTGGCAGATAGCTGATGTCACAAGGAGTAACTTAGGCTACTTATATTTTAGAAAAAGAATTAAGGTTCCGAACAAAAAAATTAAAACCCCAAATAACATGCAGACGAAGTAGCGGGGAACAGCTAGTATAGGATAAGGATGACAAACGAGCACACATTCCACCTGGAATTAAAATGCTTGACAATGTCACCTTACCTTGAATACCAGCGAAAAATATCAGCTTAACACTGCTGTGTTTCGTATGGTGAGTGTAGAGAACTGGAGACCATTTTTACTGGAAAATAGGTATTCCATCTTAGTCCTCATGGGTGACAACGCATCTGCATTTTGATTCGCAAACGAGAATAGATGTATATCTCTATGGGTCACAGCAACCACTTACCATCAGGTGGATTGTGTGCTCCTTTGTCAACCTATTCTATAAAAAAAATGTCACCTTTAAGGGCTAAGATGGAATGTTTCGTTTGGAAATGATGGGCAACATGACCTTGCTGTTAAGAGCTCAAATAATAACAATTGAGTTTGCCAACTCGTTTGCTAAACATGATAACTACCGCAAATATCCCCTTATGGCCTTACGAGGCAATCTATGGGGAGGCTTATGGTCAACAATGGACTTTGATGGGATGTAATCAACGAATGGAATAAAGATAAAGAAAGGGTTTTACGAGTGGTAAATTCGGTGCGCTACTCCAATGCGTTTTTTAATTTTTTAGACAAAGTTTCTTTACGATGTTTTGTTCGTCGCAAACATTGTGGTGAATAAGCACTTAAATTGCAATAAACTTTTCCATTGTTGCTAGCGAGTTGCTCATGTTCTAGGAAATTTAACGCGAGCGGATAAATGACGAGCTACGGTACATGGACAAAAAAATAAAAAAATAGAAACTAACGCTTGCGGATCCCAAAACGAAACACCAATTATATCTGACAGGAAGAAATATCGTTTGATGCAGCGTGCTCGCAAGCCATTTCGGAATTTCAATAAGAAATAAAAAAAAAACACGTAAAACACTATACAGAAATATTTTGTGTACCGTTTAAAGATCTTCTTGATAGTACTTTGGGAGGCAATACAAATACTACTTCAGTGCGGAAAACAGGCTGCATTTATGAAAATACCTACTCCCGTCGTGTGTCGGCACTTTACAATCCTCTTAATAACAACTAAAAAATAAAAACTGCGGTTGCCAACACGCCTATCAATAGCCTCGGCCTAGGCCTCCGCATGGATTGCCTCATAATGGGAATATTTGCCATAGTTACTCAAATACTTAGTTAACCACGCAGGGCAGGCGGGTTGGCAACCGCAGTTTTTTTTATTTTCCAACTAGCTGTTCCCCGCGACTTCGCCCGCGTTCAATATAGGGTTTTAATTTTTTTGCGCGGAACCCTAATTCTTTTTTAAAATAAAAGTCCCGTCATAATCGGTCACCGGAAATAAATGTGGAAATAACGTTTTAAATTTGGAACAATTATTGTATTGTTTAAAATTGGGAATGATAATAAATTCATTGAAATTGAATGATATATCTTTCAAATAAATTTGTTGGTACGATACGCGCGCCACCTAGTGTATGTTAATTGTATTATGCCTATAACTTTCGCGCAAGTGCAAGCAATAGGTTGAAGTTTTACCGCAATCTGATGAACGAGTGCATAAAATACGAACAAACAAATATTAATTTTTATATATTAGATTAAATATGATATGCCCAGTAACCATAATAAACCTAGAACATTTCTAAAATATCATACTAAATACAATCTTTTATCTTCACTCTTCAGTCTCAAAAATTGTGTTTTATTATCAATCTCTTCTAAAATTGTGACACAACAATTCAACACTAGCTATGGGCACTGCACTATGGGCTCCATGTAAAGTTTCAGGCGTCTGAAACAATATTCTAAATCAAGTCCACCTCGGTTTGGATTACCATCTAACCGGATAAATCCGATTTTAACCAGATAAATCCGGTTTTTTAGGAGTTGGCTACACTGGCTTAACTAGTAGGTCTACAGGTCAATGCAAGTGAGCAAATGAATACGACTTTAAACGCATTGCTTGTGAAAAACTACGGATAAAATTTTTGGAGGAACCAACTTCTGCTAGCTGGTGCTAGGGACCAAAAATATAGGTCGAAATAGATATATGTCAGAATTACAACAACGAACAGAACCACGACCACTATCTTAGTACTAGTAAAATTACTTAAGCGGAATCTCATGGGGATTTCTCGATATACCCTCAACTTCACCTCGATCCACCGGTATTTTATAGACGCTCCGACATATATTTGATTGGAATAAATCTATTGAGCATTTTTGCCGATATTACGGCTGAAGACCGAACTTTTTTCTCAAAATCAAGATTTTTAACCACCTACAACCGGATCTCCAATTCCACATCCTGGTAACCCTAGCCTCAGACGCCACTTCTAGCTCCTGCGTGAACGCTGATGCGCATCTTCCAGCGACGAAAACTATATAACTTCAGAGATTTTTTTTTATTTGAGCGAATAAAAAGAAGGCACAGTTTGAGTTAATCTTAACCGGTGTACCTATTGTCCAATAATTTTCTAGTTTCATGGTGAAGCAGGAGCCCGCGGACCTCCTTAGTCGGTAAGTTGTTGCTCACAGTAGTGAACACTTCTGGCAAGCATTTGGTAGTATACCATTCTGCATTGATGCTACTTCGATTTCGTAAATGAATTGACACTAAATAACTCATCGAAGTACCAAGCTAAAAATACTAGCGATCTACATCATCTAAATTTGCTATAATGGCTTTTTTTTTTGGTAGACGTTGGATCATTTTGCAATGGCCAAACCGTCAACTGCCGCTTCGTTTCTGGATTGTATAGATACTTCCATGATTCATCAAATGTAACCCCAACAACGTAAAAAAAATGATGGAAGAAAAATTTTCATAATGGTTTTTTCCATAATCTTTTCTTTTTGGTAGACGTTGGTTCATTTTAAAGCAGCCAAACCATCAACGGGCGTTTCATCTCTAGAGCGTATATCAAATCCAAGATTCATCACCTATAATGATGTTAATCATATCACAACACCATTTCATATAAGCCTGCTTCTGAGCATCTTTATAACCATATCTTTCGTAACAGCCGTCAAAGAGCGACCACTTCTTTCGTCAGTCGACCGTGCTAAATTTTTTACGTAGGTCACTCAATAAGTTTTGAGATGCTCGAAATTTAAAATAAAAAATAAATGTAAAGTGAAATTTAAACATTCGTATTTTTACTTGTACTTAATCGTATTTTCAAAATAAATTATATCTGGCCAGTATCCAATACAAAAAAGTTTTCAGCAGCAAAACTTTCTGCGTGACCTGTCGTATTTAAGCTGCAACTTTACGACTTTACCAAAAAGAAGCAAACTCGAATGATATGACGTAGTAATTTATTAATGACTGTGTCAACTACCCAATTTTAAAGTATTCAGAGAGATTCTGTAGAGCCGTGGTAGCTCAGATGGTTAGCGCTCGCTGTAAATTTCACACTACGCGAACATACCGGGTTCGATCTCCGCCGGCACCAATAAAATTGTTAATTGCTATTTTAAGTGCTGATTTACCACGTGCTCGGCAGTGAAGGAAAAAATCGTGAGGAAACCTGCATGTCTGAGGAATAAGAAAAAAAATATTTCGAAGACGTGAAGTTTGCCAACACGCATTAGGGCGGCGCGGCGGACACTTCCTTGCCTTAAAACCCCTTTCAGAAATGAGGGGAGGCCTGTGCCCAGCAGTGGGAAGTATTTAGGGTGTAACTTTACTTTACTTTAGAGAGATTGTCATGATATTTCGTTCTTCTCTTTCACCATTATTATCATAATTACAGCCATTCAAAAGCTACAGCTGTACGTAGGCCTCCCAAGTAATGCCACAAAACACGGTCATGATTGGTGACTCCGCATGCACCGGCACATATGTACCGACTTCCTACATGTCTTACCAAGTCGTCACAACCAATTAGTGGGAGGGCACTCTACACTTTGCTTACCAGGACAAGGCTGCCACTCGAGAACCTTTCTTCCTAGTTTTTCTCTTTTTTCATGCTTAATAAAAGGATTATATATCGAGTATGTCTTCCCACGAGGATGTATGCGAAAGGGTCCCCGTGGCCCTGCGTAGCCAATGCGAGGCTGACAAAACACGTAATTACCCCCTCGAAGTGGGTATATCAAAAAACATCCAACCGATCAATCCAAGTACCATTCTCTGTTATCAAATTAAATAACGGGACAATGAGGTCTAATTATAAGAACTTTCTTCACACAATGTTTATATCTCTAACATCACAAGAAATAAAAATGTTAACTACTACCGTCTCCCGTGTCGATGTCGATCTTGATCAAATAGAAAAACGTTTTGTTGATAAATTACAGCGACATCTACACATTCTTTTGCGACATTAGCATAAACAACTATAAAGTACTTGCGTTATTAGTTGTACAACAATAATATAGATGGCGTTGTTTTACAAAAATCATGCCTGAATAGAACGGTAAGTATAAACTTGGAAACATAACAAATAAAATGTATATTTTAATTACGTATATTTAAACTTACCTCTGCCCAGAAACACACGATGAGAGAGGATCCCGACATGAGGAGTGGGTAGTAAGCTGATAGAAGGCTCGTCGCCCATCCCTCTTGAAACGCCGACTGCAAAAATAAATAAACATAATGTAATGAAATAGATCATACTCTTCAAAAAAAAACATATATATTTCTTTTTCATCAGCCCATAAAAGGACACAGCTGGATATAAGCCTATCCCGTTGTAGGCGGCATTTGCCGTAGTTGACAGTTGGTCTTGGTAGCAACTCACGGGCTAAGCGCACACTAAATTTCACAGCACGCGAGCAACCCGGGTTCGATCGACGATAATTTCAATTAACAATGAAATAGTTAATTAAAATTTTAAGTAAGTGCTGATTTACCGTGTGCTCGACGATGAAGAAAAACATCGTGATTAAACCTGCACGTTTAAGAAATAAGAAAAATAATATTTCGAACAACTGTGAAATTCACCAATACGCATTGGGGCTGCGCGGCAGAGGCTTCCTTGCTCTAAAAACCCTCGCAGAAATGAGAGGAGGCCTGTGCCCAGTAGTGGAATTGGAAACTTTAATAGTTGGCGGTCGAACTGACGTACGCAGTGACAAATCGTCACGCACCTTTGCCTATTATTACCCGTCGCCGGCGTGGGCAACCAGTGCAAGAGAAATTGTGAAAATCCAATCGAGGGCAATGCATTTAGATAGATAGATAGATAAAGCATTTATTTGTTTCTCCAATCACACACGTAAATTGAGTGACTAAACTAAGTACAAAGTAACATATTACGAAAAAAAAATTTACACAAAAACTTAAAATCTAAATGTACATGTGTGTTGCAGTTTGACAAATGAGTCCTAGCTCAGCGATTAACATTGCTCAGAGAGCAAACACTGATTTTCAGCTATTACCCTCGAGATGACGAGAAGAAAATGAGCACAATAATTAATCAGTGCAAATATATATATATATATATATATATATATATATATATATATATATATATTTGAATGATGTGTCCTTCCAGCCCTTAGATTTGCATCTTGGGTTTAATTTAATAAAATTACTGAAGGGGCGTGTAAGTGTGTAAGATTGCGTACAAATTAAAAGTTGTACCTAAAAGGCTTAGACAGCCATGATGAGTTAGTAATTGCGTACAAATTAAAAGTTGTACCTAAAAGGCTTAGACAGCCATGATGAGTTAGTAGGAACAAAAAAATGCCGTGGTCTATAGCTGGCAAACCGTGTTTGGGAATACCTTGTTTTTGTTTATCTAGAAGATATGTTTAGAATTTATTTTTAAAATTGTAATTGGTGTTAAGATTTCTTATTGGTGGTGAGATGTTAGATCATTCATTAAAATGATTTCAATGGTTGCTTAGAGACGTGACAGCTCAGCTTACTTAAGGGGCTACTCCATGCGAACGACCTTGAGCATTTGGTGTGCCGCGCCGACTCGCTACAATATAATATCACGTAAGAAATATGTAAGGCGCCACCTACTGTAAGAACGTAGTATTTCAACATCAATAAACTATTTTATGGAAATACACACAGCGTACAACGATAAATGTATGTCAAATTTTTTATTCGGTATATTAGTTACATTATATTAGAGTTATGTATTCTCATATAATATTATCTAATTATGAAATTTTATAATTAATTATATATTAAAAATGAAGCATTGAAAATTGTGAGTTTAAAAGATACCTACTCACTATAGGTAAATAGATAGATAGCTCGCCTTTTGTACAAATATTTGGTGCAATAAAGAATAAATAAATAAATAGGATGTTTCGCAGAGTGAGAGTAATATAGAATGAGAGTCGTGGAGGCAGTTTACAAACATAAATTGCACAAGGACAAACATCCAGACCCGGAACAATTATTTGTAGGCCATACAAATAAGTACTTGTTCCGTGCGGGATTCGAACCCGCGGCCCCCAGTGCAGGAACTGATTGCTAAGCCAGTGCGCCACGGAGCCGTCGCCGGTTTATAGCTAAAGTGACCATACGTCCCGTTTTGAACGGGACTGTCCCTTTTCTCAGTCACCTGTCCCATTGTCCCCAAACAAAGCTCCGGGACACAAAATTGTCCCGTAACTCGTTGGATGGAAGTACTCAAAGTCAACAATCTTCAACATAATTTTTTTTAATCGAATATATTTTATGTCTCCCTGGTACAAATGCTCCAGTAGAAAGAATATTTTTTTTATTTTGAACAAATTGTGGACGTCTGAAAGAAACACTTACGGTTCCAGTTCTAAAGACGATGTTGTTAACAAAGGTAACCATAAAAAAACTTAAGCAGAATTTTATTCTTATTTAAAATTATCACCAACTTTATTAAAGCAAATTTAATCCACTGACAAATGTAATTAATAATTTAAAAAAATATGTTGCATTTAATAATTACCGTCTATACCGAATATAATTTTATATTGAACACTAATTGTGTAAAGTTATAGTTTTTAGAGTGTAAATAAACCCATGTCCTGTTTTGAGTTAAAAAATAAATGGTCACTTTAGTTTTTTTTAGTTAAATTTAGTTTAAAAAAATTTTGGTTTATAGTAAAAAGTAGGTATATTAATACCTACTTAGATACTTTTTACCGAATTAGGGTAGAAGCCCCTAATACCAGTCATGCCCCTAATTGCAGTCTTTTCGCCTTTTTACTCCATAAATAAGATTTCTAGTAGTCTTAACTACAAATATTTTCATCTAAAAAATTCTTTGTACCTAGAGGAAACTATATTTATTCAAATATTACCTCGCAGTTTTAAACCTAACAGTGTTAAAATCAAAACAGGTACGCAACGAAAAACGATCATTTTCCTAATTATTTGACAAGTTATGATCCCGGTAAAATTATGCTTACTTTACATTATCTCATATATAGGCTTTTTGATTTGTATGAATATGACTATAGACATAGTAATGCAGTTATTTTTGTTTGAATTTACAACTTATTTATTTTCTTTTAGTGGAAATTAATGGGACTGTAATTAGATAATATAAGAAATGTATGGAGTGCATAATGTCAGCCGCCCGGCTGTTATTTGGTTTGACGTATATATAAGATGTACCTAATTTCAGCCACGTAATATAAATCAGAGCTGCCATAAACTGGAATAAATACCATTAATTAGATCATAACTTATTTTATAGCTAAGGGAGTTATGAATAGAATAGAATAGAATATAGAATAATAAAATTGGTTTTAGATTTTAAAGTTTAGCAAAAGATGTACTAGCTTTTCTCTCTGACATTCGGCGTATAGAACATCTTATGTACTCAATAATTTTTTTTTTGAAAAAGAAGAAAAAACAAGCAATAAATAAAAACAAAAACGGGCCAAAAACTCATAACTGACTTTTTGACAAGACCCGGGATTCGAAACCGAGACCTCATGATCAGCACTCGCACTACTACAACCACTAGACCAACGATGCGGTACTATACCTAATAAGATATTGTGGTTGGGTGATAATATTGAATTAGCCTTTTATAGTGTAAATTATAATATTTGTCGAAATTTTAATTATGGATTCGAACCTTACATGCTAATGGTGCTTCATTTTTTTATTTGCATTTACTTCAAAGAAAATACACGCAAAAAGCTTCATCGCGCAGTAAAAAACACAACAAATATATATATAACTAATACGAAAAATTATACCCAAAACAAACAAATAATACTACCTATAAATAACCTAATAAGTAATATTATTATCGACTAATATGACGTGAGTGTATGTGCTGGTCGACGCTCTAACGACACGGGCTTCGCGTCGAAGAGCTCAGGGCTCACTGACTTCAGCAAGCCCGTGAGCAGTGAATATGCCCAGATTTTAAAATAAATTCTTAATAAAATCCAATTTTGGTCTTTTGAAAAAAATTTTACTATAGAAATATTCATTAATAAATTGCCTATCCATTGGTGTAAATCGCAAAATAAAATAATACTTACTTTACGAGGAGATGCATGTTATCAATAATAATTTCACATTTATGTGGTTTCGTTGTAAGGAGATTATATTAATATTTATTCCTTTAAAAAAAAATTGGATATGTAGAAATATAATGTGTTTTTTATTTGTTGATATATCTTTTAAATAAAAAGTAGATAGCTTCTAAAAACAGCACAAATAACGACTAGCGCGACATTTTGCTCAACCTGCGCCTTAATTACTCATCATAAATTTCACAGTGCCAACTATTTAAATTTTTTATTATAGAATACGGGTGAAAAACGAGCACAGGGTCCACCTACATTCACTAGCGAGACGCCATGTTATAAGAAACTTTCAGAGGGATAGGTAGTGACTAAGGACTTCCACTTGACATAACACCACCTTTCTCGTCTCTTTCACGTCTATATAATATCTACGCATTCATACTCCTCGGGTTAAGGGTACTCTCAATTGGTCCATTTTGGATATAATCACTTAATTTAGTGGATAAAAGTTATAAATAATAAATTACAATTATTATTGTATTAAAATCAAATAAAACTAACCGGAGAAACAAAGTAGGCTCCGCGGATAAGGGAAGCCAGGAACGCGACGAGGTACAGCATCTTCTGCGTGGTGACCTTGCAGGCGCGGAGGAAAGTTGGCGCTTTAAGGCGCCGGTACTCGGTCACCACGCATATCGTGAGCTGGACTGCGCAGACGAACGCAACCACGAGGAACATCCCACCAATGCCTGCAAACAGGGAACACAATGGTTAAATTGGCAATAGCATTTTACGTGGTAAAGCCATGCTGCAGCTAAATTACTGGTATAGTTGTAGCACGAATGGGTCGGCTTGACCGGGGACGGACCACGCTTTCACAGAATACCAGCGTAAAATAGCAGCTTATCGCTGCTGTGTTTCGTATGGAGAGTATAGAGAACGGAGACCCTTTTTACTGGAAACGAGGCATTCCATCTTAGTCCTCACGGGTGACAATCCATCTGCATTTTGATTCGTAATCGAAGATAGATGTAGATGTATATGGGCCACAGCAACCACTAACCATCAGGTGCACTGTGTCACCCTTATCGTATAAAAGAATAGCTTTTTATCCGACTTCAATAAGCAGAGGTTATGAGTGCTATTAATGTACCGCTCACCAGATATCGATAGCTGGGACCGAGATGAAGTTATTTGTGTTCCGTACTGGAACCATATTTTATTTTATATTATGGTCTATATATAGTTATTTTCTTATAAACTTTCGAGTGGCAACAATTACTAACTTAATAGGGATTTATTGAATTCTTGGTCTGGTAACAATCCTTTTTACGCCAGAAGCCGTGCTCGCGTCTGATTGGCAGACCGGAGGGCACTCGCGCCGTACGCCGAACCGAAACATTACGAACTTTTCCTTTTCGAAAAATTATTGTGTGTTTTACAACGAGTACTGAACAATACCCGAAGATACTGTGCCAGTGACCTGTGGACTATTCTATTCGGAGAGACAGGGTTAGTTCCCTTCGAGTCACCTATTCAGCCAGCCAGCTCGCCGAGCCCCAAGCAGCATGAGGCAGTGGAAGGCGGAAACCGGTGAGTTACCAGACCCTTAGCTTTTTCCTGAACAATTTGCATTGAGGTATAATATACATAAATTACGTTAATGGTTATTTGTTACGCAATATCTTTATAATTTAGTAGTTTGTTTTGTTTTGATTTTTTTTAAACGTTACCCTACACTAGGATTTTATCCTGTATCGTGTAGGCAGTTTACAAACATAAATTGCACAAGGACACACATCCAGACCCGGAACAATTATTTGTAGGCCATACAAATATTTCTTCCATGTGTGTACTTTAGATTTCTGTTCCAAGTTTAGTTCTAGAAGCGCTAAAGCGCTAAACATCGATTTCTTTCCGATATTTTTGGAACCCTAGTCATCGTTGAGTTTCTGCACCTAGGGAGAATATGTGATCTTTATCTTATCATCATCATCATTATAACAGCCCTTCACAAGTCCAGTGCTGAACATAGGCCTCCCCCAAGGAATGCCACAAAGCACGGTCCTGAGCCACCTGCATCCATCGACTTCCCGCATGTCTTATCTAGTGGGGGGTCGACCTACACTTAGCCTATCGGTACGAGGTTGCCAAGTGGCAACCTCGTACCGGTAGAAAACCTTTCTACACTATCGGTTGTCGGTTTTCACTGGCAACACGCACTGGTTGTATCTTTATCTCAACTCAACTTTTAATCAACTCTACCCAAACTTTACCGATTATGGGACGAGGCTCTAACAAACGACTAACGATGGACAATCAATCCAAGAACGCAGAACTTTACAGAAACGAATATAGCACCATTCTCTAACCGCAGAATCTACCTACATTACTTTGACTGGTAATTGGCAGTATCACGAAATATAAAAAAACAAGAGAAAGTAGCAAATGGATAGTATTATCAGTGCGAGGCCATCGACTGCGCTCAGTAACACGGCTTTCATGCGTCATTATTATTGAAAACCTATACAATTGTTGCACGAATTATATAATAAACCAGATAATATTTAAAATAATTTCTGATATACTCGTATCTATCATACCTATATAACCGATAATTCATGCGGCAATTCAGCTGATAGTAGCATATGACTCAGTAATAAAAATATACGAAATGCGGAATGATAAAAAATAGTAACAACATTTCTAACTTAATTCGTGGCTTCCTTATCAGTATAAAACGCGTTATTATCTTAATAATATCAAGAACGATAGCGCGTCACCTCAGTTTGCACTGAAACAAATTAACAACATAGATTCTACTATATTGACCATTGTAGATGATGTGAGTATGTTTTTTCTGATACGGTAGCCATGTTCGGCGAGCACTCTCATAGCATCAACCTTATATAGGTTTTCAGTTCGTATTTTAGGTTCAAAACTTATTATCATATGATATTCTATTTGACATGTTTGTAAGGGGTCATTATACGTACGTTTATAATCTAACCTGGTTAATAAATCAAAAACAGGTTCACCTCTAAGACAAGAAAATTTTCCTCGGTCCGGGTAGTACTTTAAGTTAATATGTATGTTGTTATTCCAGCAATTTTGAGCTGAGGACCCTGCCCCCCGCCTCAGTACTATAAATATAAAACGTCGTGGCGCGGCGCGCGTAGCCTCATTCGCTCCGCGGCCGCGTCACGGTAACATGCCCTGTTTATTATTTATCGTGCCTAAGGGCTTAAATAAAAAAATACATGAGGAATTAAATTGCACTATACAAGGGAATATACTTTACACACAATACTTATTCTACAATTTGGCATTAATTAATTTCTATATCCTAAATCTATGTTAACTCTCGCCAGTTGTTCGGTGCCTTTATTGCGAGAGTTATTACATAGTTACAAAATTATTTATTTAACAATAAAAGCTATATTTCTTAATATTATTGCTACGGCTTTTCCCGCGTTGCTGTGGGCAACCACCGCTAGTTGTGGAACCGTGAGCGCGCCCCGACGATCATAACATTCTCATGGCTCCGCCCACCGCCCCCAGGTTGTTCAACTAGCGATGGTTACCACAAGCAATCCGTAAGTCATTTCGTTCGAGGTATTGCTATGTTTGCGTCGTGCACATTCTCCCGCCGTCGCCACGCTGCGATCCCTCTGGTAGCACGACGATCTTCGTAGTACATGCCCCGTGCTTGTGGTTACGTCCACTACTCGTACCTCTCCGTCGACGCCAGGATACACGTTGCTGATTTTCCCCCTGGGCCAGATGTTGCGTGGTAGATTGGAGTCACAAATGATGACTAGGTCTCCAATCTTCGGTGATACGCCTATGCTGCTGGGCTCCCGCCGGTGTTGGAGTAGGGGCAGGTATTCCTTTACCCACCTTCTCCAAAACACGTCGGCCAGGGCTTGAGCTCGTTTCCACTGCTGGCGGGCCGTCACGTCACTCTCGCTGAAGTGTCCCGGCGCAGGTACGTGCGAGTTGGGACCGATGATGATGTGATTCGGCGTGATGGCTTCTGGGTCTCCTGGGTCGACTGAGACGTGTGTGAGAGGTCTTGAGTTGACCGTGTTTTCGACCTCGGCGAGCAGGGTCACCAAGGTCTCGTCACTGGGATAGCGCTCGTTGTGGGTGACGCGTAGAGCTTCTTTCACGGAGCGAACCATTCGCTCCCACGCGCCGCCCATGAATGGTGCTGATGGTGGTATGTACTTCCACACAGTTTGTCGACATGTGGTTTCGTGCTCGAGGGCTGCGAGTGCTGCTTCGGCCAGCTCCTTGTCGGCTGCCTTGAAGCACGTAGCGTTGTCACTCCATATTTCCTTTGGGCATCCTCTTCTGCTCATAAAACGTCTGGGCGCCGATACGGCTGAGTCGGCGCTTAAAGAGTGGGCTACCTCTATATATATTGCTCGTGATGTCATGCAGGTGAATAACGCGCCATAGCGCTTTTCACGATGTCGTCCCACTGTGACCTCTATTGGCCCGAAGTAGTCCAGTCCGGTGTATGTGAACGGACGTGCGTGATGAGCGAGACGTGCGGACGGCAGGTTCCCTGTAGATGGTGATGCAGGCTTGGCTTTTCTTAGACGGCACGGTAGGCAGCTTTTGACGACAGTTTTCATCACTGGACGTATTTTTCTTATGTACAGTCTCTGTCTTAATTCGTTCACGACTGTTTCCACGCCTCCGTGATGCAACCTCTCGTGTACGTGGGTTATGTACAGACGAGTGTATGCGTGCTTCCCGTCTAGTATGGGAGGGTCGTACGTGTCCTCTTCTACTTCTGATGCTGCTTTTATTCGACCTCTGAGGCGTAGGGTCCCCTCTTCATCGATGTATGTGCTCAGGTGGCCTAATTTGTCGTCACCTCCTAGAACACTTCCGTTGGCGATCCTCTTGAGCTCCTTCGTGAAGCTTTCCCGCTGACTGGCTTGCACCCACAGTTGTTCGGCTCTTACGTGATAAGCGGCCGGTATTCCTACAAGTGATGAGACACTAGGAGTTGCCTTTTTCTCCTTGGCTGGGGTGTTGCGTTTGTTTGTTCTTTGCCAGCCAGGGTCGCTATCTTGTCTTGCTCGGTTGCGTTTACGCCCAGCCTTCACCAAGTGCTTGTTTGGTCTGCACATGTCGATGAATAGGAGGACTCTCGCTGTCGCCCTTATGAGGCGAATCCATTTTGAAAATCTTTCTATTTGTGGCAGATGTGTTGTTGGCGAGTCTACCCTTTTAATTGCAATGTTACACACTTCTCGTTCTTCCCCGGTGTCGTATTGTGTCGTTTTCTCTTCCTGCGGCCATTCTGCTGGTGGACGTTGCAGAAACGGGGGCCCTCGGAACCACCGGTGCGACTCGTCGAATCTTTCTGGCGTGGATCGGGTCGCGTCGTCTGCCACGTTTTCTTTAGACGGTAGCCAACGCCATTCGTTCTTCTTGGTCGTATCTTCTATCTCCGCCAGGCGATGAGCGACGAAAGCTTTGTACGCGCGAGGCTCCGACCTTATCCATACCAGTGCAGTACGAGTCGCACCAGTATGTCTTGCCCGCTATATCACCATCGTGCTCATCGACCACGGTCTGCGCGAGACGAGCTCCCAGCAGTGCCGTTTGTAATTCGAGCCGTGGTATGGAGACTGGTTTCAGTGGTGTTACGCGGCTCTTGGCGGCGGCCAATGATACGTTAACGCTGCCGTCTGCTCGCTCCGTTCTCCAATACACGGCTGCTGCGTAG